GCTTGGAATCAAGCTCTATGCCAATTCTTGTTAATGGTCCTCCAACTAAAGAATTTTAGGTTCCAAGAGGGTTAAGGCAAGGAAACTCTCTTTCCCCATGCTTGTTCTTGATTGTAGCAGAAGGCCTAAATGGCATTATCCAATTGGCATTATTACTAATTCTATTTGAAGGAATGAAGATTGGGTCTGGAGAGTTGAAAATTTTATACCTTTAGTTTGTAGATGATACAATTATTTTTGCTAAGGTAAGAGATCAAAATTTGTGGGCTTTGAAATGCATTATGAAAACATTTAAACTAGTGACAAGGTTGAAAAAAAATATATATAACAAGAGTGTGCTAATGGGTGTTAATATGAGGAAGAATGCTTATTGAGAGTAGCAAGAACTTTAAATTACGGAAGAGGGAGCTTTCCATTTAAATATCTGGGAATTCCTATTAGTGCCAACAAGAAGAAGCCTGTGGTTGGAAAGCTTTGATTGAAAAATTCAAGAAGAGGCTATTCACTTGGCAATATCAGCTATTGTCTTTTGGTGGAGGAATAACCTTGATTATTTTTGTGCTATCTAAGCCACCTAGTCTTCCTTATGTGCATGTTTTTGTTCCCAAAACAAGTGATTAAAACTTTAGAGTTAATTAGAATGGCAAAACCCTAAGTTAAGCCCTTGAACTTACCTTAAATTCTCGATCAAGCCCCTAAACTTTTATTAAAGCCAAAAACCCTTGAACTTAGCAATTTGAGCAATTTAACTTTGTTCTTTATAGTAAACTTAATGTTCGTTTCACTACCAAAAACAACTATTTTTCAAGCCAAAAAATTTGTCAAAAAATAGTGAATATTGATCTGAATATATTTATTCGAACCGTTAGTAATCCAGATATTCGGTCTAAAAAAACTTGGTCTAAATAATTTTAATTTTAGACCAACGAAAAATCAATCTAAATAAAACTAATTTCCAAATTGACTTTAGTTTGTATAAAGGTCGACATTTTGACCAACAACAAGCCTAAGCCAAACCAAAATCGATCTAAATAATTACAATTTTTGAACCAACAACGGTCTGAATATTCATGTAAATTTCATACCAAGAATGGTCTGAAAATACTATCCTTATTTAGAAAAATGAAAAATTTTGGTCCTCATGTGTTAATATGTTGAAATTATTTTCAGACAGAAGTTGGTCCGAAAATCTTAGCCTTAGTTAGAAAAATGAAAAAGTTTAGTCCTTTTGTGTCACTATGCTGAAACTATTTTCAGACTAAAGTTGGTCCAAAAATTTGTGGCCATACATAGAAAAATGAAAGTTTTCGATCCTTCTGTGTCAATATGCTGAAAATATTTTCAAACCAACATTGGTCTGAAACCTTGCAGCCTCATTTAGAAAAATAAAAAATTTTGGTCCTTTTGTGTCACTATGCTGAAACTATTTTCAAACCATTAATAGTCCGAAAATTGGTGTCTATGCTTAAACTATTTTCACTGTTTGAAAGTTATCAAGACCAACTGCAATATGAAATATAATTGCACAACAGTAAAAAAAATATTTACTTAATATATTAAAATTTTTTTCTATATACAAATAGTTACACATTATAAAAACTAAAAATAATATATTACATATTATATAATATTTACATGAATAATATTTCTTAAATTAAAAATAAAATAGAGAACATATACAAAGTTAAAAGTAAAACACTCCCATAATAATTGAAATATAATTTTAAAAAAATAATACAATCTATAATATATACTACAAATAATATAAAAAAAAATACTCAAACCTATTTTTATACCTTGTAAATTTAATAATTTCCTACAAAAATAAATGAAATGGAATTAGTAAGATAAAATGGAAATAGAAAAAGCATTAAAAGAAAACAAATATATAGAAGCAAAGTTTAGGATTCACCCAACTTTTCATAATAACCTACAAAAAAAAAAAGTTAGTAAAACAAGAGAAAATAAAATTAAATCCAACTTATATCACAAATTAGCAAAACAAAAACAAAATATAAATTTAAAACATAAAAACAAAAAATATAGTCAAGAAGTATAAAAGAAAAATGGAAGAAATAAGAGGGAAGGGAAGGGAACAAAGCAAGAAGAAAAAGGAGGACTTGAGAAAAATGAAAAGAAGAAGGGAACAAAGGGATAGAAAGAGAGGGGCAACACAAAGGTGAGGGAAAGAAGAGAAATTAGAAGCATGAGAGAAAGAAGGGAGGGGAACTAGAGAGCAAATAGGGAGGAGGAGAAGGATAGCAGAGAAAAGGCAAACTAGAAAATTCAGTGGAGGAGGTAGCAGGCATGGAAATATATAGGCAAACTTATTTGGGATTGTGATCAGTCTAGAATATATTAAATTCACGTCTACCGCATATAAAAGAAATTTTGATTGTTGTGAAATTTTTGGTGGTTTATTATTTCAAACTGTTATTGGTCTGGATACAGCCAAAACTTTTGAATTTTCACATTAAAAATTTTGGCAAAAAGACGGTAAATATATTTAGACCAACATTGGTCCATATACCTCTCTAATAAAAAAAAAAACTTTAAAGAAGCATAAAAGAATGAAAATATATTTAATTAAAAAGAATACAAAAAAAAAAAAAGAATGTTATATTTGGACCATTGTTGATCTGACCAATGTTGGTTCGAATAAGTTTTCCAAACCATTAGTGGTCCGAATATGTAGAGCAAAACCCTTCTTTTTCCTTGACACCTTAAACTGTGCTTGATTCGTTCTACTCTTATTCAAACAACAAACTCTAAAAGGCTTAATACCATAAAGTCTAGCCTTAAAACTAACAATACCAAGCCTACATGTTTGTGGTTTAACAACGACGTGGCATAATATTAAAATTAATGATCTTAACTCTACTTATTTGCGATTTTGCAATGATGCTACCTTATGCCACCATGAAGCCATTTCGAGTGACTAACTGATAGTACTAGGGTTAGGAGCGACTAAAGTAGTGAAGTGCATGCAGCTAGTAGAAATGGAATCAAGGCTCGTATGGATGGGATTGTCCTTAAACAAAAAAAAATGAGAAAGTTTGAGATGAGAAGCTTCAAGATTTTGGGCACCCTATTCCGAATAAGTTTTCCAGACATTCAACGGTTCGAATATGTTGAGCATAATCCCTTTTTTCCTTGACACCTTAAACCATGCTTGATTCATTCTACTTCTATTCAAACAACATGCTCTAAAAGGCTTAAATGCCATAGAGTCTACTAATAATACTAAGGCTACACATTTGTGATTTAGCAATGACGTGGCATAACGTTAGGGTTATCAATTTAATTAGGTTGGGCAATTAGGAGGTTTAAGAAGATTGGATTCACAAAAAGAATGGGTTGGGTAGGACAATTTGGCTTTGGTAAATTGAAAAAAGAATGAGTTGTGAAATTTAG